GAAGTGTGCTATCAGATTATTCATTATCGGTCATAATGCAAACAAATCTATTAGAATCCTACAGGGAAGGGGGAAGTGTGCTATCAGATTATTGATTATCGGTCATGATGCATACAAATCGTCTTATAGGATCTGCGTGTCGTAGTTATAATTCCAATTTCGTCCTTTCTTCATGAAGCATTACCACGAACAACGTTAACCCAATAGTTGTAATCGCCAAGAGCAGCAAAACGCGTACTCACTGTAAATGTGTAGCTGTAACTACATACCATTCCGGAGAATCTGAGTTTAACCTTTTTAGCGAAGCAGCTCCAACCGTTTTTTGTTTTGTGAACTTTATTTTTTTTCTGTTCATCTTTTTCTATTAATGCATAATATGTTGTCTATTCATCTTTGACTTTTATTTTATTCATCGCAGTCTCTTATGGTCTATATAGGATTAAGACCGAAACATTGCAAGGTAGTTATATACATCGTAAAGAAAATACAAAATAACGGCTTCTAGAGAGAGAGCATGCTAGTAAAATATGATAAGACCCCTGTGATTCTGGAAACCTATGCACTGAACTACGTTTGCAACATCCATACAGGATAAGAATCAGCGACTCTTTTCACAAAATAACTTACGATTAAAATTGATCGTAAGTTATACTGAAATGTGTATGACTTACGAGTATTTTTACTCTTAAGATTTTTTGTGAAAAGAGTCGCTGATCGTGACTTGGTACAAAATCTTTATTAAGAAAGCAGTGGGTTGAACGAGGTGTTTTAGACTACAATATACACATATATATATAACAGTAATTATCAGTTCATTAGTTAAATCTTCACTTCCCCATTCATAACAGATGCGGATGTGTATGTATGCATCTATAGCACAGTAGACGCATCTCGGTAAATAAAATTTTAAAGTTTGTTTGTTTACTACAGTGCCTATTAATTCTCTTGGCATCTTCATTTCCGGTGGTCAAACATTGTATATTGAATTAATGTCATGATAGTAAAATATCAGTGTCTAATGCAACTAAAGCATTTCTGGTATACATTGAAGGTAAGACATTTAATGGGGGAAAGTATATCGTGTATCAATGCATGCCACAAAATCACTACAAGCACATTAAAAAACAAAAAGCATGGAATGGCGCTTTTATTGCTGTTTTTCATCGCAAAAGCATTTGCATTGATATTTCAAATTACACAGTTGAAAAGATAACCTTGAAAAACAATACAATTGTATGTGTGTTTTTTTAAAATATATATATCTTTTGGTAAAGCCTTGGTTCGTATCTAAATATAGATTACAAGATCTCGAAATGATACAATTTTGCAGTTTTTGCAGTTTGAAGCCCTAATACTAATATTTAAGACAAATGCAAAACTAAAGATACTGATCTCTAATGGACAAATGTCTTGTGAACATTTGGATGATGTTATTTGGTACTTTTATAATATATTTTGATTTTCGTATTCAAGGAGATAAAAAGTGTTTTTCATCTTCGGTGCATATTAGTCAAATAAAATTTTAAAAAGCTTCTTTCTCTAAAATGTTTCACACAAATAGTTACAGAAGCCTTCATTGTTGGTCTGAAAGAAAAGTCTCACCATAGAACCACTTCAGTAGGTAAAATTATAGACGTTAAGCTTATACCCTTCAATATAGATTTAATAATGATGAAAGCCATTGGTTATTGGTGGTTTTGTGCCATCAACTATAACTACAGACGCGACCATGATTGTTCCGTTGTTTCAATTACCCAAAAGTTGCTTTAGATATTTTTAAATATTTTCATTTTGGCCAGCAGGGAATTTGGATCTGGAGGGTTCAAATTTCCTTATTTGTGTAACAGTGACGAAACTACTTGATGGTTGTCACGGTCAATATTTATTTCAATCGGGAATTGAAATGAGATAAATGTTTCATTTACCGCTTTGTAGAGTAAATCAGACTTTTCGTTGACAATTTGTCATTTTTTTTTTAAATTTTAACAACAATGACAGCCATGTCTTATGGTGAACAGGGCTACCAACCTCTGTTATAAAAAAAGAAAGAAGATCAATGGAGTATAATTTGTGAAGTATATTGAGTAGTAATATATTGTCCTTCACTAATTTCTTATGTTTTGATTTTTTGGTCCATTTTATATTTTTAATTACTGTGTCATCTATGTTTCTTAGTAAAGTCATAAAGAAAACTCTTCTAAAGCAGCAAGTTCGGACTGTTAAACTTTGAAATTTTGGGGCTTTGATGAAAAATAGTTATAATGCTTCACGTTATAATACATTTTCTACATACATCTAATGATATTTTTACTCAAGTTTTGATCACTTCACAATCAAATTAAAATATAGACCTCTGATTTCGCTATCCTAATAAGACGAACACGCGAGTTAATATGAATCAGAATTTTAATCAGATTGGATCACTTCAAACACCAACAAACGTCGTACAGCTGTGGTCTGAACATTTATTTGAACTTATGCGACTTAGCCGTGACCATACGAGTATACGCGTCATTGGGACTTGTTACTTAGCTTTTTTAATAAGCAATTTCTTGAATTATGTATAGACTCTAAATTCGTATTTGGATTCGAATAACATCCATTTGCTGAGCTACTTTGACATGCACATTGTAATAATTCCCTAGCTTTTTGATGGTATGATTTCGCCATATCCAGACTATTATGGTGACGCATGCATATCACATTGGAGAAGCTTACCTGGTCTGGCACATGCGTAGTTCATGCTATTTACTAAGTACTATTTACTTACTTTGTGTATAAAAAATCATAGGTACTTGGGGACAGGACAATTTGTTTTAGCCTCCCCCCTTTTTTTTTTCTAAATTCCGTTATATTTTCATTTTCTTGATATCATCAGTGACCGCTGTGAACTAGGAATTGACAGAAAAAAGTAAATACATATTATTTCTAGTATTTTTTGTTAATATATCTCAGAAAAACTCGAAAATAATTGAAATTAAAAGAAAAAAAAAGTAGCGGATTTTAGAAAAAGGGGGAGGGCTAAAAAAAAATTGTCCTGTCCCCAATTACCTCTGTTAAAAATGGATTTACACCGCTCAACTACTGTTGCCTCTTATTTTATGTGTGGTTATTTAATGTTATGTTTGGGTTTTAAAATATATATTACTGAAACTTTTAACAGCCAATCCAATTCTTGTATAAAGCTAGAAATAGTTTCATTATTAAAATTTCTGCTTCAAACCAGTATTTACTCAAATAAGAGTAAATTAAGGATTCGACAAATGACTCGTATTTCATGTTCTACTCCAGAGTATAAATCTAAAAAAATATCCTTATTTTCGGGGTCACATAACTTCTAACGACAATGCACATTGACAACTGATCTTCTCTACCAAAGCTTATTGATAAAACTGATGTATTGTGACTGGAGAAACAACATTAGATGAAATTTATAGAAATAATTTAATATGTAAATGATAAACAACATGTAAAGAAATGTAGCTTTTAACTAAACAACATATACAAATAATACTATCCTGAAAACAAATGTTGTCACATATAAAACAGAATCATATTGTCATGTACGAGAAAAGGTATTCACATTACGTAATTTAATTAATACTGTCATATGAAATCCAAAAATCTTTACATTTTAAGACTCTTCAAGGCCTATTAATATTCAATGAAATTCAAATATTCCTGTTGAGCTAAGATACCATGTGACCATACTGATTACATACTTATGATAATTGGTTGATTGGTTATTTAATTCTTAATAAAATGCTCCGCAGGGCGCAGCTTGATACGACCGCAGAGGTCGAACCCTGAACAGTTGGGGCAAGTATGGACACACCATTCAAGCTTGATACAGCTTTGCATTTGGATTGTGATTAAATATTTGACACAGCATAGGTTTCTGACACAGAATGAATGTGGTCTAAGAACTTAAAAATTTTAAATTGGACATTCACCTATCATGGTCCAATATCCAAAATCTTAATACATGGTTAGATTCAGCATATCAAAGAACCCCAAGAATTCAATTTTTGATGAAATCAAACAAAGATTAATTTTGGACCCTTTTGACCTCAATGTGGACAAAGTTGATAACGGGGCCCAAAAATCAAAAATCTAAATACATGGTTAGATTTAGCATATCAAAGAACCCCATATATTCAATTTTTGTTGAAATCAAACAAAGTTTAATTTTGGACCCCGATTTGGACCAACTTGAAAACTGGGCCCAAAATCAAAAATCTAAATACATGATTAGATTCAGCATATCAAAGAACCCTAAGAATTCAATTTTTGTTAAAATCAAACTAAGTTTAATTTTGGACCCTTTGGACCTTAATGTAGACCAATTTGAAAACGGAACCAAAAATTAAGAATCTAAATACACGGTTAGATTCGGCATATCAAAGAACCCCAATAATTCAATTTTTGATGAAATCAAACAAAGTTTAATTTTGGACCCTTTGGACCTCAATGTGGACCAATTTAAAAACGGGGCCCAAAATCCAAAAACTAAATACACGGTTAGATTCAGCATATTAAAGAACCCCAAGAATTCAAGAATAAAACCCCATTGAAATTGGTCAAGAAATAAGCAATTTATACGAAGTATCTTCTTTTGCACAATACTGTGCAATTAAATATTTCTTACTATTGCGCAATACTGTACAATTGACAATTTCTTGCTATTGCGCAATATTGTGCTATTGGATATTTCTTGCTATTGCGCAATACTGTGCAAATGAAGATTTCTTGCTATTGCGCAATACTGTGCAATTGAAGATTTCTTGCTATTGTGCAATACTGTGCAATTGAAAATTTCTTGCTATGGCACAATACTTATTATATAATAATTTACACATCCTGTTTGGTGTGTATCTCCTACCATATCATTATTATTTGCTTTTAAATATAAATCAGAAATAACCAACTTAAAATGGAAAATTTTAAAAGAAAAAAAAAAGGAAAAAAAGATAACCCCCCCCCCCCCCCCCCAATTTTTTGAACCCCCTTATGATTCATCACCCCCAAACTCAATCCCAGCCTTCCCTTTGTGGTATGGTACCTTGCAGTACAATTTCAGAGAGATCCATACACTTGAACACAAGTTATTGTCTGGAAACTAGAAAAATGCTTATTTTTGGCCCCTTTTTGGCCCCCAATTCCTAAACGTTTCGGCAGTTACCCCCAAACTCAATTCCAGCTTTCCCTTTGTGGTATGGAACCTTGTAGTACAATTTCAGAAAGATCCATACACTTACACACAAGTTATTGTCATAAAACTAGAAAAATGCTTGTTTTTTGCCCCTTTTTTGGCCCCTAATTCCTAAAATTTTGAGGCAATTACCCCCAAAATCAATCCCAGCATTCCTTTTGTGATATGGAACCTTGTGGTACAATGTCAGAGAGATCCATACACTAACACCCAAGTTATGTCTGGAAGTTACAAAAATGCTTATTTTTGGCCCCTTTTTGGCCCCTTATTCCTTTACTGTTGGTACCATAACCCCCAAAATCAATCCCAACCTTCCTTTTGTGGTATTGAACCTTGTGGTAAAATTTCATAGAGATCCATTCACTTAAACTAAAGTTAGAGTGCGAAAACCAATGTGTCTTCGGACGACGCCGGACGACGCCAGACGACGACGACGACGACGACGACGACGACGACGCCAACGTCATACCAATATACAACCACAAAATTTTTTTTGCGGTCGTATAAAAATGACAACTCAATGAACGTTCCATCCCCCCTTGAAAGTTAATATTAAAAAGCTTCGATTAATCTTTTAGGCAAAACTATGCATATTCTGTACCAAAAATTTTGGCACTGAACGTTCCTGATCAAATATAATAAGGGAAAGGACTTCGAGCATTCCTACAGCTTTCAAATAAAATTATTCATGTTAAAGTGTGTATGCTATGAAGTTATTGAACAATTGCATGAACCCTAGGTTGACTTTTGACTTGACACAAATTGATGACTAGAACTATTACTAACACATACAAATGCCACATCAGACAGTTAACAAATATTTGCTAATATCGAGGTATAAAATCACTTTTTCGAATGTTTCAAAATTTCGTCTGAATCTTCATCTATCCCCAGCTTCTTCCGAGACTTAGACTGCTCTTCTTCTGCACTGAAAGAATACACCACATAAATTGGTATGATTGAAAACTGCAGTGATGTCTATTTTTGTTGTTTCTACGGAATTGATTATTTTTGGATCCAAGAATATGTCTGAATGTTACCGTTTATACATCACATAAAAAAAAAACTCAACAAAGATACCATTTTTTTTTTAAATTTTGTACGCCAGACACGCGTCCCATCTACGACTCATCAGTGGCACTCGAATTAAAATAGTTGGAAGGCCGAATCAAATACGAAGTTGTAGAGCTTTAAAAACCAAACATTCAGAAAATTGTGCCAAATACGGTTAAAGCAATCTATACCTGCATGGGGACAGAAAACCCTTAGTGTTTTGAATAAATCAACTTTTATGTACACTAAATTTATAGAGAATGAACGTATTACTGATATTTCATGTCAACACAAAGTGTTCAGTTTTATTCATTATGCTTAAGACAAATGTGTGCTATTGAAGTTCAGTTTCATTTTATGTTCATGTGCTAAAAACACTTTTTTAATTTTGATTATTCTATCAACTGGACATAGCCAAGCTTGCTTGCATATGATGGTTTTTAATATTGATATTGTAAGCTAGACAATAATCAACTTTTGTAAAACTTTACACATTTGGGTAATTGTGTAACATTAATGTTTATTTCATGTCATAAGAATAATATTACATTAGAAATGTAGACAAATGCTTACTATTCTTTGCTCTTACTGACCACAAAAAACTTGCAAAACTTACGTAGTAAGGTATCGTACACACTCGTGTTGGCCATAAATTTCAGCTACTCGTTTTGGTGTATCACCATACTTGTTTTGTCTATCTATTGGTATATCGGCTGCAAATAATGCTCGTAAGGCATGCTGTCTCCCACTTTCCGCAGCAAAGTGCGCAGGCGTCCAAGATTCCTCGTCAGTGCGTGCACACCCATCAGCACCATGTTCAATCAACAAACGTATACACTCAACATAACCTTAAAAAAACAAAGGGTTTAGTTCAAAACAGTTATGGTCAAAATGATTTTTTATAATTTGCTTTACAAAAATTCCGAGTTTGTCCGAACAACAGTTACCTATCAGACAAGCTAAACAATGGCGTTCAAGTCTGCACAACAGTTCCCTTTTATTTAAGTCAGTCTCAGTCTTTAAAAAGGTAAACTTATGTTTCATAAACACTATATCTGCATATCAATTCTATTTCACGCGTGATAAACAAATGGCGCCTCAGTCTTCGTAAAAGCTACCGTTTAGACTAGGAAACGAAATGGCATCTCATCATAAAGGTGTTAGACCACCAATTCACCCACTCCAATTTAGAACATATGTAAAAGTAGCCCTTCCCTTACTAAAAAATTGCTTTTGATGTCATTGTTTACTAAAACTAACCAACAAATTTGCAGAAATGAAAATTTTGGTAAAAGAGAAATATATTTCGACCATTTTGAGCTAAAATTTACTTGTCCATGAGTTTGCATTAAAAATTATGGATTAATGCACTCCTTAATACTTATTTAAGATTTCAAAAAAAAACAGCAGTTGCCTTCCGAAAAGTTGTTTTTCATTACCAGACTTTAAACTTTGGTTGAAAATTTGCATGTAGAAAGGTAATAAATGTATAATTCAGGATATACCTGGTTTCTATGAAGTTAAACTTAAGGCAAAATATTTAGAAAGCTGTGGAAATTGAAAAAAAAATGGTTGAAGAGATAGGGATTTTGAATTGGTGGTCTGACAGCTGAACAACCGATACATTCCGGACAAGCCAAACGCCTCAAGGTTGACTTGGGAACACCTGGACGTATACCATACGACATACAATGAAGGGGCGTCTGTTTGTCTAAGCGGAATTTATAAATGTAAAAGTTTAACATTCTGTTGTCAAATACAAAAAGTCAACTGATATTAACTGCTTCACGTTCTAGCTATCGGTACTCTCGTGCCGTTGGGCTAAGTTTTCAGGCAACTAGTTTGCGTTAAGTCTTGAATCTTTGACATTTTTTTACGTACAGCAGTGGTTGAGGGCTCAAATCAATACTCTATATCACAGCTTTGTAATTCGTTGTGCTTTAAACTTCTATCAAGTGCTGTTTGATACCAAATTGCCTCTTACTGACAAGATTTTCTCCCGTGAAAACCGTTTTTTTTTTTAAATAATTTTAACACAAGATTTCCATAGAGTATGGTAAAGTACACTATTTATTTCGGGGCAATATGACTTTTTTATTAACTGTGCCGTTTATTTTGGAAGAATACTATTCAAATTATGATTAAAACTTGTACACAAGTTACATATTAAGTGATTCAAACTATACCAACGCAATCATAAACTTGAACTGCACTCAAAATATTGGGTCATTTCTTACAGAATTAATTGAAAGAGAGACAAAACCCCTAAAAATATCATGAATATTTTTTGCAAAGTTGAAATAGATGTAACAAAACATTGTTTCTTAAGTGCTTGCTTATGGTAATGTTGAAAACACCTTTGTTGAAATGGAGGAACAGGCATATGTCACGAAAAATGGGAGACTAAGGTATGATATCCTCCTATTTTTGCTTAAAATGGTGTAATTGGCAACAATTATATATTATCTCGACACTTAATTTCTAAAAGAAAACAGGCTGGATTTTTATTTCTCTCACTTCGTTAATAGTAGGGTTAACTACTCAAATTTCAACATTTTGACCACGTATTCCAGCGGTGCAGTGGAAAACTGAACGAACCCACAGCAGGAAGATTGCGAGTTCGAATCTCATAGCCGGAGGTGGAGGTGAAAAAAATAATTTCTTATATTAACTTTAAGTTTACTTTCAGTTTCAAAAAGAGTCCTCAATATATGCAAAACTCAGATTAAGAACGATTTATGTTAATATTAAATGTAACTTAGCTTAACTTTACTTTCAATTTCAAAAAAGAGTCCTCAATATATGCAAAACTCAGATTAAGAACGATTTATGTTTGTTTTAAGAGAATTTGTGTTCCCAATTGCACCCCTCCTTCATTTTGCCATTGCAACAGTCCAGTATGGGCCACAACACCAAGTTATTATTGGTAATTCATTGAATCTTTACTTGTAAAGGCTAAATTTTGTTTGCTGCTTGAATGAACATGATTTAGCCAGAAATTTGTGTCAGGGATTAGATTTGGACGAAAAAAAATACTGAAGTCCGTTATTATTTATGTGACGGGCATCAACATTTCGAGGCATATAGCACCTATTTCCTCTTTCTATACCATTATGGCAACTTTTATGTTTCTATCAGACTTTGGTCATTGCTTTTACACCAAAAATATACCCTATTAGCGCATAAAAATGTCTCCACACGACTTTTCCCGCACGAATTTTGTATTTTTTCACATTTAACCTTTCATACATACAAGCCCAGTGAAGAGCTATTCTGTCGTCCCTTACATGCGCTATTCAACATTTTTACCTTTCATACAAGCCCAGTGAAGAGCTGTTCTGTCGTCCCATTCTATATCCTTGAGATTCACGTCAATTTTACTATGTTTCAAATATTCCTCCAATGAATCATAATCTCCTGTAGCAGCTGCTTCGTGGATCTCTAATCCCGCCATTTGTGTTCGTTGGAGTCATGAATATTTCTAAAATATTTGAATCTGTAATTAAGAATAAATACAGAAAAAATACAGAAACTAAGCCACAAAATATTTATAGTGCTATCATTTTGTGCTCAGCAAATTAACAGAACTGTAACACCAGTCCTTCTTTCGCAGCTAATGAACAAACCCCATACCGTATAGTAAGCTATAAAAGGTCCAGACATGCTACTAGTGGTTCCCTTTAAACTGACATAATCACAAAATTTTACATGTAAACTACATAAAAGTTTCAAAGCCAAAGGACTATGACTTATGAAGTTGGGCGATATAATTGCCATGGAAATGAGATGCGCCAATGCTAATAAAAATGCATATCAGATATCATTGATCTTCCACTGGTGGTTTCTCTATTAACAACCCAATCACAAACTCGTACATTGTTGACGCTGCCGCCACCGCCATCGGGAATAACACACCTCAGTCTCGCTTTTTCAACTTCGTCGAGGCGAGAAAAAAAACTATTTGGAAAGGGCTAGATTAGATTTATTCAAAGTCAGTTCTCTTGTGTAAAATTCGGCACTATAATAAAATAATTCTTTAAAATGTTAAAATATGAAAGGTTGATGTATATTTGGTATTTGACAGTAATTCAACTACAATCAGTTTGATCACAATTATTGTAGTATAATGCAAACTAATAATTAAATATTTTATAAATTCATATTAGATCGATACATTTGTAACTACTATTTATCAGAATTAATCTTACTGTATAAGGAGTTTATACAAAGAAAATGTTTTGAGACGGTTTCAAGATTTATTTGTAACGGTGAAAGACAAGTATTTGAATATGAGGTTGAAATAGTCTTTGTAAATCATTCCAGGAAAACAAAAAATAAGGGAATCATCCGCTATAATGTCATTGATATTATAAGAAGGTCACACCTGTTAAAACTTTTCGTGAAATCAGAGAATTTAAAGTCTGCTTCATGTCTAGAATATTCCAATACCAAAACAACATAAAAGTATGAAAATCACAAAAGGTACATCCAAACAGGTAAAGGAATCAGGGATAAATGTCGGAGAAATTATTCTTATTTTCAATTAATGGCACTAAAAATTTCTTTTGTTTGAGGTGAGATTGTAATTCACTCTTGGTCATCTTTTACAAATGCCATGCGTAGATTAGGAACTGCTCACCCTTTTACAAATGTCGCTTATCGTTATTCTATGCTGATAGATGCTAGTATTTAACCTAGGACAGCCTGGAGTTAAGGCCTACGTCAAATGAATACTGATAGGGGTATAAGATGGATGGATAGATGGCTGCATGACGGCTTAACATCCAGTGGCAAATTAGCATATTTAGGACGAGAACATGATAATATGATATGAATATAAACACTGTTTTGTACTAGAGACCGACACCGTCTTTTTTCTGACTCCTTAACAGCGCATTCATCGCAAAGAAGCATCAAATACAAATTTTCACGTCTTGGGTTTAACCCGGCTGGAAATCGAACCCACGACCTCCTGCACTCGAGGCGAACAAGCTACCACGAGACAACCAAGGTGGTAATAGCGGTATAAGAAACAAGAGGACAACATAGATATAAAACAGACCATCAAGTCTTCAAGTAGGTACCGCCAAAAATGTCAAATAACAAGAAAGAGACTGATAAACATATTTATGATGATGCAAATTCAGGACGAGAACATGCTAATGTAATATGAATTTTAACCCTGCATTTGTACAAGACCGACACGCTGAGCCGGATTTTTAACGACGTGCTAGTTCATGACGGGTGCCACATGTAGAGCAGGATCTGTTTAACCTTTCGGAGCACCTAAGATCACCTCCAGTTTTTGGTGGGGTTCGTGATGCTCAGTGTTTGGTTTTCTATGTTGTGTTTGGAGTAATGTTGTTTGTCTGTTTGTCTTTTTTTCTTTTTTAGCCATGGCGTTGTCAGTTTATTTTCGACTTGAGTTTGAATTTTCCTTTGGTATCCTTCGCCTCTCTTTCACAAGGTAAGACACATCACATTACCCAGACACATTATTCTAACTCCGAGCCGACCAGGTTTTGCTCTTACTCCTTAATGGAGGCCTCGGTGGCCGAGTGGTCTAAGTAGTTACTACTGTAATCACTAGCCAGTCAACACTGAGGTTGTGAGTTCGAACCCCGCTCGTGCGAGTGCACTCGACTCCAATCTTAATTGACTAGGATAGTCAGTTTTCCTATCGAAGGTCGAGGATTTTCTCCGGGCACTCCGGCTTCCTCTACCAATAAAAACTGGCCGCCACGAAATAGCCCAAAAGCGATGCTTAAAAGTGACGTTAAAACACACAAAAAAATCAAAATCAAAATTACTCCTTAATGCCACGTGCTTAGTAGAGAAGTAGTCCAAACACCAATGTTGAAGCCTTTGGTTTGACCGACCTGGGTTCGTACCCACGACCTCCAGCACTCGAAGCGAACACGCTACCACGAGACCACTGAGGCGGTTGAACATATTTATGATAATATCATCTAATAAAAACCAGGATATGGGTGTGATTGCCATTGAGACACCTATTCATCAGAGACCAAAGGAAATTGATGTGAAAAAACTTTAGGGCACGTTAGGACTTTCAACAAAGAGCAAAACCCATATATAAAGTAAGCTATTACAAGAATCCGGCACGACACAATGGAAAATAATTCAAAAGAGAAAACCAACGTTCTGATTTATATTAGAAACAACCAACGAAAAACAAATATGATACTAGTAGACAACAATCAACGACAACCACAGCGGCTCTAAATGGATGGCGAAAAATCGGAAGTGCAATCTTCATAGCATACAAACCAAAGAAGAGCTTAGAGAGAGATAAAATATCCTCATTCGTAAAGGATTTACATTGATGTCAGTGGCGCCTGAAGACCTTAAGATTGGGGATTCCTAAATTGGGACATACAGGCTCTTAAAAAATGTGTCGGGTTAAACACTATCGTTAGGGCTCACCTTCCCCGGTCTAACCCGGAACACACAGGTTCATAAAGAATGTGGCGGGGTTAAACACGATTGTGAACGCTCACCTCCCCCTCCAAACCCCGCCTAACCTGGGATTGACAGAGGTTAAACAGCACAACATAAGAAACTACGAAAATTAGTTAAAAGCAAATAGCTTGACTTATCAAATCGGCAATAAGTACACCAAAAATCCTTAAAAAATACAAAAAAAAAAAATACAAGACAATCAAAGAATCATGCCAAGTTTGACCAGACTAAAAATTGATCTAATAGAAAGTTTTCAAAACCAGATTTAAGGCATTTAAGAGCTTTCGAATATTTTATCAATTTCAAATTTATCAGTAGATATTTTGTAACTCCTTAAATAGATTAATTAACATTAATTCACATTCCACTTTCCCTTGTTAAATATGATAAATACTTATATTAGATCGGCTATGCTTGTTTAATAGATATTTCTTGCAAAAGGGGTTTTTAATATTAAATTGTTTTGCTTATATTAAGTGTTTATAAACATCAACATAGCTGATCATAGCTACCGTAAGCGTGATCACTGAGGAGACATCCCTGTAAGACTAAACAAAGAAATCGTACAAAGTATAAAAGACAGTGTAATTATCTTCAAACATTCTCTTTAACAGAATATACTTTGCATATATAATTGAGTAAACATTTATCTTACCATTTCTCTAATCATGCCGGATATTGTTTACAGTCCATGTATTCCTATGGAATCCGTCCGAGGGGTTTCGAATAACATTTTTAATCACTTGCTTAAACATGCATACAATAAAATCGATACGTTAAATTGATTTTACCTGTTTCAAAGGAAGAATAAAATCGTTGAAATTTTTATTTGTTAATCATATGTTCAGTTTAAACACCTTTCATATGGATCAAATATGTAGTATAAATGCGCTTTGACAAATTCATTAAATACCCACTTTATTCAGTCACAAAGTAAACTTGGTAGGTATAATTTTTCATCGACAAAAGATGAAAGGTTGGATGCCCATTGTGTCAAAGAATTACACATCGTACGGTTACCCTGATTAGCTGTTATTAAAAATGTCCCTGCTATTCTGGCGTAGAGAAAGAAGTTCAAACATGGAATAAAACTCTGTGATTATTTTTATTGGTCAGTCACGGTTTTTATAAAAATGGTCCCAATTTGAAATCCAGACATTGAATCATTTTACGCAAAAGCATTCGGCACGACATATTGTTCGGTCCGATTGAATGCGATTTACGAATAGATGAAAGCATCATTCTTTAATCGATCGATTAATTAAAAAAAAACATTTAAACAGAAACCTTCTTTTCCTTTTTAAAATGCATAGTTATGTAAACTATAACTTTAATCTTAATATTCAGATGTTTCTGAATATGCACACGTATCGTGTATATATGTATTTGTGTTTTTTCATACATCTTTCTGTATATGATTATATTTCATGTATTATAGTGTTTATTTATATAGATTAATAAGCTTATCAATACGGCATATCTTTCACCTGTCCTTAAAAGATAAACTTATCCGGTCAGTGAAACGTAAATAATGATCAGGCATTTCCTCTACAAAACAAACAAATAAGTAATATCCGCTAACGGTTTTCTGTTTATACGCAGTAGCCCTTTTTAAGTTTAAAGTGTAATTCCATATTTAAAAAAGAAGTTTATTTTGATTATTGATTCCAGCAAGATTAGTTTGGAAAAGAGTCCGTTGCAGAATGCACGCGTCCTACCGTTAAGATAATTTCATTAAAACAAATTTTGTCATATGCCTGTCAATATACTTTAAGTGTTAGCTTTAAGATTAATCTAAAGTAAATACCAGTATATAATGAAAAGGCTAGACTCTATTTCAAAGAAAAAGGTAACTCCCATGGCATGTACTAAAAGGTTGAGTGGAGTGGAGTGGAGTGGAGTGGTGGAGTGGAGTGTTGGAGTGCTGGAGTGGAGTGGTGGATTGGAGTGCTGGAGTGGAGTCATGGAGTGAAAACATGGAGTTAGAAAATGGAGTGTAGTTGAGTTGTTGGGTCAATTGTTTAAAATTAAACCAATTTATAAGATATGTTTTTATAGCTTTAAAAATCATAGAATGAATTTGGATGTTTGGTCTCAACAACGTCCAACTGCATTCGTGTACATTGTACCAATATAATTCACCTTGGATGTGTCATAGGTATGATTTAAGGTTATATCTCCAAACATGCAGTCTAGGTCGCACACACATTTAAAGATGTCCTGAAATGTGTAAGATGCACCACGAGGGCGTTAGCCCGATTAGGTGTATCTAATTTACACCCCAAAATATTATGATTAATGTTAAATGATAGATATCTATAACTTAGGAGGGGGCCTTTCAGCAATTTTACCTTAGTTAACAACATTCTGGTGTAAATATATTTACTTGCAAAGCAAAGTTTAAGTTATAAACTTCAAGTATATACAAAACAACAGCATAAACAGAACAGTCCTTTGCAAGAAAAACGACACTTGGTTTCTGTATGTTTCATTTGCAAAAGATATGAATTTTGCTTATTTGGTAAAAGATCTATTTATCTATAGTGATCAATATATCATTCATTTAAGTTAATTTTAAATCAAGAATAAAAAATTTGTCTGTTTGACATAAATTATATAGTTTTATTCGATGATGATCAATTAATGATTTTTTTTATACATTTCAATATTTAAGAATCTTGTCATTCACATGAAATGTAGCACATCAGATTCATGGGATAATCTTTTAAACATTTAGGTCACGTCCGAAAATTAGAACTATACTGTTATAGTAATATTATAGTAATGACAGTTTTATGGGTTCTATTGACAGGTGACGGTGGTTAGAGACATTGTCGTTATCTATTTATAATTGGAAGAAACAAAATATTTTAAAAAGTACAGTCATTAAATTAACATGATAAAATCAAAGTGAAAATGTTGATTGATAATTAAGTTTTATTATATATTGGTCCCTTGTTAACAAAAATATTAATAATTTTAATATCTTTATTGACTAGATGAATTTTCAGTCACTAGTTATCAAATATTATTAAAAAAATGAAAACAATACGTTACATAAATTTCATGCGTCCAAAGCTCTTTTCTGCTTCTGTTTGACTCTGACAGACTTTGCAGGGAATAAGACATACATTTTTTTAACTAGGGGCTAAACCTGCCACAATGTGAAAATTAACAAAAGCACTATGGGCATTTCAATAAAAGTTTTGTGAGCTCGTCCAAAATTTTAGTAGCATAGGCTACTGGGCCCTTGTTAATCCTTTTCCCTGCTTAGTATACCGTATTAAATACATTTTGTCAATGTTCAAGTTTATTATTTCCATAAAATTATAAGAATTGGAAGAGCAATAAAATACACAATATTGAAGTTTCAGATATCATACATAATTATATGTAGATTATTACAAGAAATATATTTTATGAATTAATTTGTATTACTTATGGGTGTTGTTATTGTTTCAATTGAAAGTGTCTAGAGACAATTGAATGCAGACGTTTTCGTTCACTGATATTTGAAACAATGATGGGTTTTTCATTTCATCAGATAATTATTTACCCTTCAAGGTGAATTGATTGATGCATTTTAATTGTTTGTTATGAGACATTATATAATGATTAAGATAAACAAAGTCCAGAAAAAACTGCCATTAGAAATACACTACAATTCCGAACAGTAAAAATTATTACTAGCTAAACAATATCATCACAAATCTAACTGAGCTGTCATAAAATGCTACTCAAAACATTGTCCAACTTTGATGAATAATCAAATATGACAAATGAAATAAGATAAAATCATCGTGTTTTGCAATTTCAATAAAAAAGAAGAAAAAAAAACAATTATAAATGATTTTCATTTGAGATTTTCATTCGAATTCGTTAACAATTTCATTTGATATGAAGTGTGATTGATTTATGGATTCGTTCAATATTTAACCAAAATCCTTTACTCCTCTCCACTCCATTTCCTAACTCCATGTGTTCACTCTATGACTCCACTCCAACACTCCACCACTCCACTCCAACACTCCACTCCACTCCACTCAACGTTATAGTACATGCCAACTCCCATGGGGGAAATTCCATCCTTGACTGGTAACAATGGGGAAAATGTATCTCACAACTGGTAATTTGGGGAACATGTATGTCTTGACAGGTAACAATGGGTAAACTGTATCTCACGGCTGGTAAGTTTGGGGAACATGTATGTCTTGACAGGTAACAATGGGTAAAATGTATCTTACAACTGGTAAGTTTGGGGAACATGTATGTCTTGACTGGTAACAATGGGTAAAATGTATCTCACGGCTGGTAAGTTTTGGGAACATGTATGTCTTGACTGGTAACAATGGGTAAAATGTATCTCACAACTGGTAAGTTTGGGGAACATGTATGACTTGACTCGTAACAATGGGTAAAATGTATCTCACAACTGGTAAGTATGGGGAACATGTATGCCTTGACTGGTAAGAAAAGAAAAAAAATGTATCTCTTGACTGGTAAGTATGGGGAAAATCTATGTCTTGACTGGTAAGAATGGTGAACATCTTGGTGTTCTCCTGACTGGAAATAATGGGGCAGATGTATCTTTTGACAAGTAAGAATGGGGAAAATGTATTTATTAGGAAAATATCTCTTTAGTGGTAAGAATGGGGAAAATGTATCTCTTTAAAGGTAATAATGGGGAAAATTTATCTCGCGACTGGTAAGAATTGGGAAAATGTATCTCTAAGCTGGTAAGAATGAGAAAAGTGTTCTCTTGATTGATAAGAATGAAGCAGATTATTTACTTGTTTGATAAGAATGAGTCAAATGTATATCTTGTCTAGTAAGAATGGGGAAAATGTATTTCTTGACTGGTAAGAAAGGGGCAAATGTAACTCTTGACTAGTAAGAATATAATCTTGATCGTTATACAAATTATCACGAATCAATACGCTGGTAAATTTTTTTCAATATTGATGTTTGGGAGGAGGAATAAATTCCTTAAAACTGTAAGAGTCCTGTACTGAAGCCTGCGTTACTGGAAACAAGTGATGGTAGGGACTCATTCTATGTTTTTTCATTAATGCCCTCTGGGGAAACTGTCCTTAACTTTCTTATCCAAAAACGTTCCCGAGCAAGTCTGTCGACCCTTGACCAACCCTCGTTGTGGTCTATGATAGTGATGGTAAGGTTTTTTTAGATCAGCTTGGGCGTGCTTGCAGGTGTAGTCACTTCGATGACCATTCATGCGTTTGTTGAATATCAACATATCAACAGACCTCCACCTTGTTGGGCTGTTGTTTAGGCGAATTATGGCCTTCCAAATACCGTTTCGATTCCTAACATCACTGAAGAGACATTAATTGTCGAAATCCGGATATGGTGTACTAATTTTGCACCTTTTGTTTGCGGTATACTATCTTTTTCGCAAGTTTATTGTTTTCTGTTTGGTATTAAATTAATAATTAAGATCCATTATGTTACATCTTGTGATCCGTTTATTTGGCAATCGCCAACGGCAGTCAGCAGGGTTTAAGAACATCCGTTGTTCGACCTGCTAGTCAAATGCGTTTTGTTAAAATATACTTTTTCACTTTTTTGGTCTTTTGGAAAATGTTGTTTGTGCTGTATTTATACCCCTCTACCAAGAAATATGTTTTGCATGCACACGTATAAAAATAGCGGTTTTTATCCAACGCAATCATAGTTTTGAACGTTGTTTTCAATTTAGACTTGAAAATAT